CCCCCCCCCAAATCTAAGAACTTAGTTTTAGTGGTGGACAGAACTTTGTTCCCCTTCAAATAAACCAAAATAACCCAGCAGAGAATTCAAACCAAGGGAGTAGGGTTGAGAAGGGATCAGATTTTAAAATAACTGCTTTTGTGACACAAACATGGAGCTGGAAAAGACAGGTTTGGGCTAGGCAGAGTCTCTCACTATAACTATCACCATGTGCTCTTCTTCTAGCTTGCCCAATGTCCTCAGTGCTGACTGGAGGTACTGCTGTGAAAAGTCGCAGGGAGGGAAGGCATAGAGCATGCCTGTGCTGTCTCTGCCCTTGGATCCATCCACTGGCAGGCTGATCACCCCTGCAGCCTGCTTCTGTTTCAAGTAGGAGACCAGGTTCCTGAGAAGCCGCCTCTGTAGGCCTGGCTCCACCGTGGGCATCCCCTCAGTGCCAGGCCCACTAAAGGTTGCCTGGGTGGCTAGGAGCACTGCATAGCCATTGGGGCTCCCCTGTTTGATGCGACGCGTGACCTTGTCCAACTTAGGCTGGTCCAGTCGAAGGCGCTGGGCAATCTTCAGTTGAGTCAGCTTGCTCCCGGAAGAGTGGTCTTTGAGGAGACCACTGATAACTCCCTGGTCCCCCTCCAGGATGTGCATAGATGTTGGAAAGCAGCTGTTTTTCAACACTAGAAGCCCATTCCAACCTAGCTGCAGTGTCTGAGCATACTCTGAAAGAGTCTTTAGTTTTTTGGTCTCATGTTTTGGCTCTTCAAGAGGCTTGGTCTCGGCCTCAGTGGTCCGATGATTGCGGTCGCTCTCTCTTGTCTTCTTCCCGTGAGAAGAGTCTGGGGCTTCATGGTGGTGGTGGTGATGGCCCCGCTCTTCAGCTCTGTGTCTGCTGTTGCTAAGGGAGTTGCTACCGGATTCCTTGGTCCCTTCACTGGAGTGGTTCTCCTTGCGGCTGCGCTCAGGGGTGCGGTCTGAGCCACGTTCAGACTGCTGCCCACCACCCTTGGTCCTGCTCCGTTCCTCATAAGGAGAGTGGGTTGTCCTTCCACGGTCACTGGAAAGGCTCCTCCGCTTGCGCCTCTCTTCCCAGGGCTTCGGCATGCCCCGGTCAACATCTCCCCCCCAGCGTTCACCACTACGGCTGCGCACAGAGCGGCTATAACCTTCCAGGCTGTTTCTGCGATCAGAACTTTTACTGGGACTGGTCCAGTCCCCTTCCAAAAAGGTCCGGTCTCAGTCTGAGTATAGAAGGTGTGGGGGGGGTCCTGTCTCGCACCCTCAGGTCCGCATCCAGGTTGCGGTGCCTGGTATATCCATCAGTGAGAAGCTCATAATGCAC